CTTGGAGTTGAACTAAATGTCTTTTGTATAAAGGATGTACATGAGTTCTGGGCATCAGGGGTGGAATGTCATGATTTATGTTGGTGGTCCCCAGGCCTCATGTATTTGCACTGTACATTTGTGATTGGTTCATTGTCTAACTTGAGTTGATGGTATCAGTGCTACACTCATCTAAGGGTGGAGCCAGGATGTGATATTATGGCAGGAAGAATGCATGTCTCTCTTCTGTTGGTTTCTGCCTTGCTGCTTGCAGCTGCCACGAACTGCAGCCCTGCTGTGCCACCCTGCCTTAGAGCCAAATGAGTATGAACCGAAACCTCTAAAAACTGTAAGAAATAAACCTTTCCTTTCCCAACTTGGTGCATCAGGTATTTTGTCTCAGCGACCAGTAAAAAGAAACTAAGACAGTCATCCTCAATAGGATTATGTTTTCCAGACTATGAAGTTTCTGACTTAAAGATGCTCTGGTACAAATGTTTTCATATGGCTGTGATGATTTATTGTTATTAACCTCATGGTGTATCAAATGCATTTACTCCTCCAGATGTACAGGTTTTCCAAAATATAATGCAGGAATTGTTTATGGTGATAGAATTTTCATTTAGATTCAGACCTCTGTCTTTAGTACAAACTCATGTGATGCACATCCCAAGAAAGGTCAACAAGTTGGATAAAATTTCCTATATATTAGATAGGGATGATTGACTAAAAGGGATATTTTATGTCAAAATGGAAATTCGGGTGTGTTTTAAAAATGTCATCATGATTGTCATGCTATAATGTTGTACATGGTTTTTATTTCTAATTTTCTGTGTAAAATATGTAGCTATAAACATTCTACAAGTATTCAAATGTTAAAACTTCCATGGTTAGGGGCTGGGGATTTAGCTCAGCAGCATAAGCGCCTGCCTTGCAAGCAGGCAGTCGTGAGTTTGATCTCTGGTACTGACAAAAACGAAAAAGACAAAAAAAAAAAATCCATGGTTAGTAGAAAATAATGGCTCTGTTTTATGTTGTTAGGTGCTTATATTTAAATAAGATAATAATTTTAAGTTTACTGCTTGTACTAAACTGTACTGCTATTAATATTTATTCTGGATATTTAATAACTGAGGACTGGAAATTAAAAAAAACTATGAAGATACATGGGCTAAGAAGATAGCCAATATTTTGGCCCCATCTCTTGAAGGTCAGTGAGGACTCAGGCTATAAGAATACTTCTGTTGTGACATCCAGTATCTAGATGAGTCTCTGGTCTTCTGACCAAAGAGATTGTGGAACCACAGATGAAATTGATTGATGATACACAGTGTGCCTAAAGAGAATCACTATGAGAAAAAAATTTCCTAAGCTTTCATAGAAAGTAACTTGGTCAGGCCTTGATCATGATTCATCCAGATGGCTGACAGTTACAAAAGTATTAAGGGATGCTATGCACAGTCCGAAGGCAATTCCTGAGAGACTTCATTGAACTTGATAGATAACAAGAGATTAATTGTAAATAATACAGGCCTCATTTTAATTTGGTCTTGATCATCCAACAGAAAAGTATAACCACAAAATGTGTAAAACAATGCTACAGCAATATGGTAATTATAAAAGAAATTCAAATTGCTAACCCCTTCAGAAAATTTCCAGCTGCACTGAATACTGTTATAGATTAATGGACTATACAGGGTTAAAGTGTGAAATCCTGAAACTTAAAGTCCTTGGACTTAAATTGTTTAGCATAAAGGAGTAAGATTACTTAAAATGAAAAGAGCTCAAGAATGAAAAGGTCTTATACAGAGTTCTCCAAACACAGCTCCTCCAACTTCAACTGACTACACATTGTTTGTAACTACAAAACAGAAAAGGGGGAGATGTAAGGAGTGGTTGTAGCTGGAGATCAACCATGTATTTGGAGCTAAAGCCCTGAGAACACAGAAAGAACAAAGTAAGCCACATAACCAAGCTGGTTGAGCTCTGAGAAGGCAAGGTGCCCAGGTCAGCCAAGCAAACAAATTGCTAGGCAGAGGGGGTGAAGCTGACATCAACCTCCTGAGTGTTATGGTTGTTGAGTAGTTCCTTTTCTTCTATCAGGAGAGAAAGTTCAGCCTGACCTCAGTTTTCATCTGTTTTCTTTATTTTCACATTCTCTCACCATCTTTTCCCTAGGAACATTCCCTAGCAGAACTGCATTGGCACACAGCAGAACACCCAAAAAACAAAATAGCAAAGTGAGGCAAATTGAAAAAAAATTCTTCCAATTTCGTGCAATAGAGAAAGATAAGGCAGCTTACATTAATCTTTCAAAGCAGATAGTTTCTGCTGGTTGCAGTCCAGTGAAGTCAGAGCAAGAAGGGATTCCAAAAACCCAGAAAGATGTGGAAGATGAAGAGAATTTTTATTAATATTTACAAAGGAGATGGGGACTAACTTTATAAAGGAGGATGTTGAAGTTTAGAAACATTAGTATACCAAGCTCATACTGCCAGCAAATAACAGAGACTAATTGGCATTAAATCTGATAAGACTTTAACACTGTCATATTTCACCAGAACTGTAGTGACCATATGTGAATAAATATTAGTAGACTTTATTATTATGGTCTTTTTTTTCCTTTGGTGCTGGGGGTACTTGTGCTTGCTAAGCAGATGCTTATAATACCACTGAGCTAAATCTTCGGTCTTAACATTAATAGACTTTAAAGTAAATGTTGCAATTCAGTTGATCCATGGATCTTAGCATAACATCAATCTAGAAAACCTGTTGCAATGTCTTTTCTCTGACCAATCTTAATCTTCCACAAGTTACATGAGAAGTTTAATTATTTAAGCTGTTAGGAAGAAAGCAACGTGAGAGACATGCTCTTTAGTGTCTGAAAACTTAGAATTTCTAATCACTAACAACTTTAGGGATTATAAAGTCTTTCAACTAACTTATACCTTTTTAACTTGACTTTGTGCACATAATTATGTAAAACAAATAGATGTACCCTAGATGAAATGAATACTTGCAGGGACACTTAGCATGAGAACACCAACACTGTCTTCTCATTCTGAATGAAAGCTTATAAAAATGATGGAAAATGTTTTGTAGTTCTTCTATGATCTCAAAATCATGTGAAATATAAAGTTAATATAAGTGTTTATAATAAGGTGTAACTCAAGTCTACTGTTATAGTCAGAGGTTGTACAGAGAACAATTAGAATCATGCCACAGAATTTATATTATTTATGATGGTCACCCAGAGTTTAACACAAGAAAGTTCAGGAAATCTGTCCACAACACTAAAGGCTCAGAATATTCAGCCAAGGGCCTGGATCCCACAGTGAGTCCAGATGAAAACCTAAAGCCCATGACAGTGCCTCCCACGAGTCCAACTGGGGATCTAGAGCCCACAAGAAGGACTCATGCCAGTCTGTTATATGGATCTTCACTGGGAAGGCTCAAGGTCAGTGGTGGAAGCTAGAAAGTCTATGCTAGTGGGATCAAGGAGCTGGTAGGTTGAGGGTTCTATGTGGGATCCAAGAAGTTACATTCAAAATAAGAATCAAGGCTGCCCTGAAAAGTACCACAGCCATCCTCAGCACCATAGAGGTCCTGAGCTCCTCTAATGATAAGCACAGTCAAGTACATGCCAGAAAGCCAGTGTGATGAGATTCTCCTGAAGATTAAGTGGAACATATCTTCCCCTCCTGAGCTAGGAAGCAATGCTCCATGTAAGGACCACAGCTCCCCCAAAGTGAACCACAGCCATTCTCACCAACAAGTCCTGAGCTCCTCCAATGACAATGGTCAAACTCAAACTGGGGAAGCTAGTCATGACAAGTTCCTCCAGGACAACCAATGGCTCAAACAGAAACATTTAGGAGAATCCTCAATGCCTCGCTTCTCCTTCTCCATGTCTCTATTTATGTTGGCAATTTTCTTCAGATGAAACATCTACACTCAGCATCATGCTGATTTAATCCAACTGAAGTTAAATTGATCACCAGTTTTTAATTCTAACATCTACTGAATCAGAATCTTTAGAGGGTGGTGTTGGATTTCTCTTTTGATAAAGATGCCCACCAGGAAGTTCTGATTCTGTGGAAGATTATTTTGCTCTAATTTTCCTACATCCATTTGTACATTTCTCTGCTTTCAATAATTCCTTAATTTTTCCTGCATACTATTTGATTCTTCTCTAATTCGTATGCTTTTCAGAACAATGGCTAGAATTCATCTATCTACCCAAGCATAGAAAATTAATATACAGTTATCACCATTGTGTCAACATTTGTCCTGAAGAAGTTCTAACACACACACATATATCATTAAATTTCTAAAACAAAGTCCCATGTCAGAGATATATTGAAAATGAAGAGGGAAAATTGAAAATGTTTGAACTATTGACCTAAACTCCATTCCTACTTTTAAAAAACAGGAAAAAACTTAAAACTACTCCTCTAAGATCTATTTCCCATTTCATTGAAGGAGACTTTGGTCAGTCTTCCCTTAGGTTTGATGTGACATATCTGTCATGCAAAGTGTATGTTGTAATTTAGCTGATCTAGCTGTACCTGTAGGATGTTTTTTAGTCCATGTGGAATTTACAGTGTCTTCTGCAGCATATTGAAACCTCAGTTAGGTAGGAAGCAAAATGTGTGTATTTTGTCTTCTATTTAGAATGCTAATATAACCTTTACACACAATTTAAACATTTGTTTGAATTGATTTTCCATTCTGAAATGTTTTAAATTCTTTGGAAAATACATTGTAGTTATGTGTCAAAGAAAAAGTTCCCAACTTAACTGAATATATAAATGCACGTCATCCAGAGTAATAATACTTTCAAATACAGAATTGATATAAAACCTATAAACTCTGAGTAATTATTACTATAACCTTTAACCTGTTTGAATGTGTTGTAAACTAGAAATAGATAAATTTTATTTGTCTAGAACCTTGAACTAACAAGATAGTTAATCATCATTGGAGTGATTGTTTTTTTTTTAAACCAACTAAATATTTAAAAAAGGACTTTCACAAAGAATAAAGTTTAGACTTATTGGAATTGCTGCAGGATTCCAAATTCAGGTAAGAACCTTTAGATTTCTAATTTCAATATTTCTTGTACATAAAATTTATCAGGTTGCCAAGGAAGGATGTTTAGTGCTCATGATACATATTATGAATTTTAAGCTTTGTGCTTTCTTTACACCTATTTTCTACCCTCTCAGAATCTATTAAATATTCCTTTTGTGGATAGACATGCCCCAGGTTTATTTAATCTAAAATTATAAGATTTTTATGTCTTCTTTACAACTATTTCCTAAGCACTCCGGATCAATTAATTATTCATTTCACAGCTAGATGTGCCTCAGGTTTATTTAATTTAAACTTACAAGAAATCATATTTTTATACTATAAAAATAAAACCTAAATTATTATTTTGTTACTTTCTAGACTAGTCTGAGAAAGTAGACTTGAAGTTACCTTCTTAAAATGTGATACTAGACAGTTATTTAAATCAGAACCACACATAGAATTGTCAGAATGGGCTTCCTATTTCTTTTATTTCATCTTCACTGGATATTGAAGGGTGAAATTTAGTTGGTAAATATAGAAAATTAGAATGTGTTCCAAAGTCACTTAACCACCTCTAATTTCCTTGTTTCACACCAAGTTTGGCTCAGTTTAAGAGTAAAGAAAAGTATTTTTCCAATAATTTTTCCTACAATTAAATGAGAAAAACTGAGGTCCACGAACTCCATAGGCAAAAGCTAACAATGAGATAAGTCAGGGGTACTACCTTTCTAGGACCTCTGAAATAATGAAAGTTTGACACAGGAAATTGCGGTTGCTGAGAATCTACCATCACCTCCCCAAGAAGGACTGGGCTACTTTCTGCAGGGAAAATAGGCGTATTCTAGGCCCTGTCTTAAATACTGTGTACCAAATATCCATTTCTATGTGTCATTCTGAACTCTGAAAAAATACGTTCAAAGAGAACTGTATGAAAGACCTATAAAATATATTTTAAATGCATGATAAAGTAGAAAATGTGGTATGGAGGCAATCTATACTGACATTATTATGCATAAAATGAGGGAAAACACTATAAAAACTTTAATTCCTATAATTTACTTTTTTTTGTTCATGTAGCCTGATTCTGTATTATCTAATTGCTATTTCTAATTTCTCTCCAGGTCTCACTAACTAAATTTTAATCTCTCTGAAACTGTAATTTGTGTGATTTTCTTTTCTGTTTTGTGTCCAGAATTTTCTGTCCACTGTCAGAAACGTAGTAGAGTCTAAAGAGATATTTGTGATTGACTGATTGATTTTTTGTTATAGGTTTTATTAATTCTCAATTATATATTGTTAAAGTGAAACAAATTATCCATTTTAACCCCAGATTGCTGGCCATTTCAAGCCAACAAGCAACAACAATTGCAAATATTCACATAATATCTATGGTTTAAACATGGATCGATCTGAGCGTGTAAATAAAACATCAAAGACAAATTCTTCAGGGAAAAAGAAAACCAGATGCTGCAATGGATTTAAGGTGGGATGAGTGTCATAGTTCCAAACAAAAAAGGAGATGTTGTGTAATGTACCATGTTAAAATATTCTTAGAAGTAACCTGTAAACTTAGTAGACTTATTTAGTGTTCATCACTTTGCAATCTTGATCTGTTTACATATTCTTTTCTTAGAGAGCAATGTTTTTTATTCTGAGATCTTAGGTAATGTAGAGAGTATAAACCTGTACATAAAAATAATCAAGATTTGGCCCAGCAAAATGTTTCTGGTCTTGGACAATCTATTTAATTTTTGCATTTTCAGACTGGCAAAAATAATTATTCCTTTTCCTTTTGTCACAAAACTATGGATATCAGATGATATTGGCACTTTAATAAATAGGAAAAGCATGGAGCAGAATAAAGAAACCAAGGTTCAGGGAGGCAGAGAAACTTCTCCAAAGTGGCTTATTTTGTAATTTGAAATTGCTTAAATCCAGGATAAACTCTATAAACCCCATAAAGAAAATATCATAGAAAGAAACATATCAGCCAGAGTCACCATTTAGCAATATTCTTTTTTCAGTTGATTGAAGCTGGAGTTTTACTTAGCAGAATAGAGATCACAGAGATCATAACTATAATCATGTAATGCATGAGTTTCTTTTTAGTTTTATCCAGGAAATATGAGACCTATTTTAAGAAGTTCTGAAAAAATATTTGAATAACTTTAAATAAATAGATAGTCATAGGAAAAGCTGTTGGTTAATGGAGTTAGATTCTATATTATTTTCTTGTGTTTCAGGGATTTCACTTTCAAATGGACAGGAAAGTAACAACACAGTTGCTGGCAAATTTGATTCTCTTATAAACCTCTTATATAATTTGGGTTAAGACCCTGGGAATTGGGAATCAATACATTGATTGGAGTCCAATAGAGAATAGTAGAAAAACAATAGTAATAGTAACAAGAACTTATTGAATGTTTATTATGTCACACACTGCTCTAATATTATCTTGTTAATAGATTTAGTCCTTATAATTCTGCCAACCAAATATGATTATCTTATTGTTACAGATGAAAAAAAAGGTATGAACAAGGTAAATGATGTTCCACGTATCTCAAACCTAGTAAACAGTAAAACAAGATTTTAATGGAGACAGTTTGACCCCTTTCAACTGTCTTTCACATTGAGGGTTTTTGCAACTTTGGCATCTTTAACAGATCATGATAAGCAAGGATTTACAGACTATTCAGTGATCTTATTCATTCCATACTTTTAAAGTTCAATCTCAGATGAAATTATTCAGTATGTAGCATCTATGGGATTCTTACAAATGTTTTGCATGTATACATTTGAATCTATACATTGCTACCAATTCTTGTGTACACACTCAACAGTTAGAAATGCATAAAATTCAAAATGGAGAGTGAACAGATTTGAATGACACACTTTGATTCTTTCTGGTTCCTTTTAGTTTTCATACTGACCAGATTCATTCCAGAGAAACTTCCAATATATACTTCACTTCCAACACTGTCCTCTCAACCTTCAGATTACTTATACTGTTCTGTTGTAACAAGAATTCTTCAACATCAAAAAAGTAATGTCACTCCAAAACATACATAATAGGAAAAAAAGTAAATATTCTCCCTTTCTGATGATGTTCTCATGCCCCTTCCAGCATAAAAATCCCTCTGGATAACCACCAATAATACATCCCATAGTTCTTCCTGGATCCCTTTCCTCCAGTCATGTTGGCATTTTGTCTGTTTCTTGGATGTGTCAAGTTCACATACATCTGTGGGAACTTTGCACTCTATGTTTGTTTTCTGAACTGTTCTTTTTGCAGAAATCATGTACCTTGGTCTCATCCAGACCTTGTTAAACATTACCTCAGCTCTGACCTTCCCAGGTAAATTGGCCCTATGTATTACTCTTTAACTTGGATTGATTGTTTTATAGCATCTAAAACTGTGTGACACTGACATCCAAACACACATCTAAACTTGCATGTGTGTGTACATATAAGTGTTTAATGGCTTAAAAAATTAAATTACCTTACAGTTCAGAATAACAGTATGAGCAGGCTAAACTCCGGATGATAGCCTGACCAGGCTCCTTCTTGGAAGTTTTTGGGAAAACCTTCTTGCTTACCTCCTCCTGCTTCAAAAGGCTGCCTCAGTTTCTTGGCTCATGGCTTCCTTTATATTCAAATCGAAAGATGCTGGTCAAATTTTTTTCAGGTCATATCTCATCAATACTGAGCCTTCAACATTTTAAGAAGCCTCGTAAATTACACTGGTTACATAAAAATAAGCCAGGTCAATCCCTCTATTTTAAGGACCCCTTGTTAAAAAACTAGGTTCTGTAATATGAGTTGAAAATATCTGTATATACATTCCTTTAAATAACTATTTGTATTGTATAAAATGTATTTTTGTGTTTACAGAATTTTAATTCAGTGTTACAGTGTTGTTATCCATATTATTTCATACAGCAAAAGTTTGGACATTTTGAGTTTTATGTAAACTTTCCATGATATTAATATGCCCTGAATTGTATCTTAACCCTCTTCATGGTTTATGTCAATGATCCCTAAGTCTCATGAAATTATAGACTTGACCACATCTAGCATTTGTGATTGGTTCATTGCCTAGCACTATGATTAGTGGTGTGAGTGCCACATCTGCCTATGGGTAGAGCCAGCATATGAAAGGGCTAGAAGAAGATGTGTTTGGCTCTTTTGCTTTTGCTTCTGCTGTTTGCATCAGCCATGAATGGCTGCCTTTCCAGGCCACAATGACTCAGAACTAACTGAATGTAGACTAAAACCTCCAAAAATCATAAAAATAAGCCTTTCTTTCCCTAGTTTTGGGCATCAGGTATTTTGCCTCAACAATGAGTAAAAAATAACTAAGAAACTCTTCTTGTACTTTTTAATTTTTCTCAAGGTTTTCTGAATGATGTTGGTATAAATATTCTCATTCATGTTTCTCGGTGCATCCAAGAACATTTCTTGATGATTCTTAGAATCAAAATGCATAATGCAAAATTCAAAATGTATGTCAGCTTTGCCAGAAGATGTTAAATTGTTTTTTTAAGGGGTTGTTAGTTAACTACCAATCATCAATCCATAAGTGAACATCTGTTTATGCATTCTTTATCACACAGTATAATCAGATTTCTTACTTTTTGAAAGTTAAATGAGCACAAAGTAACACTCAATTTTGGTCATAATTCACATGTTTGAAAACTACTGAGATTTAACTTTGATTCACAGGTTATTAGCCCTGTTTTCCTTTTATAAAATCCCACACATATATATTTAAAATTTTTTTATTATTTTGAAGGTAGTAAAATACAGCAGAAGAAGATGGAACAAAGCCGACTCAGACAGTGTAGTGAAATTGGTACAGAACTTCACAGCAGATTACCAGAATAACAGTAATAGGTACCACAGTGTATCTCATTATCTTCACAATAGTTGTTCTTTCAATCAGGCATAGCAAAATAAAATGAAATACAGAACATTACAGAACTTATCAAAACAGAAAATATTGAATAGAACAATACCATTCAACAGCATAAAGCAAAACAGTGGTAAAAATATTTGCCTTCAAAGAGATGGTAGAAATAAATCCCCCTTATTTGCTATATTGTATATGGTCAACCTCCCAAGAGATGCTCAGATCTCTGGCTTCCATTTGCTAATGGGGGGAGGGAATGTTTCATTCCCAGCCTGTGCACTGGTAGGCTCACTAGTGCTTAGCAGGGAGGCGAGCTGGTTGATTGGTTTCCCAGTGCCCCAAGTTCCAACATGGCGTGGATCTCAGGAGACGCTAGTGGGTCTCCCCTGGGGCAGCCACAGCTTGTCACACCACAGCCGCTTACCAGGGGGGCAAGCCCATACATGTATTTTATGCATTTTAAAAAATTTTTGGTGCATTTTAGATGAGCACAATGATAACTTACAGCTTAGGGAGTTTGTAACTTGTACATAATTTATCTTGCTTCATTTTTCCCATTGCCTTTTACTTCCTGCAACCCCTTTTCCCCTACTTACAAAAGATTTGTTTCTATTTTTATTTCTAATCTTTTATTATCTTGTTCCTTTCTCCCTCCCACCTCCCTTGTTTCCCTTCCTATTTGAACATATCTCCCCATTTCCTGCATCTATTGCATATTTTAGTCCTTATTTACACTTTCAGTTTCTCACATCAGAGAAACCATGCAATACTTGAACATACATCTGATTTATTCACTTGAGGATGTGATGTAAAGTACATCCATTTAACTACAGATGTCTCAAGTTTATCCTACTTTATGGCCAAGTAGTGCTCCATCATATTAAAAAAAAAAACATCATCTTTATCTATTCATCAGCTGATAGGCATTTGGGCTCTTTCCAAGATTTAGATATTACAAACTGTGCCACTATAAACATGAATGTACATATATTGCTATAGTGTGATGCTGTTAGTTCTTTCAGGAAGATACAAAGAATGTGTATAACTGTCTTAAGTGGAACATCTGGTTTTATTTCCCTAAGGATTCTCCACACAGCCCTGCCAGCATTTGTTATTGATTATTTTCTTGATAATAGCCATCCTTTCTATAGTGAGGTACAATGTTAGCATTATTTTAACCACTTGGTCTTTGACAAAGGGCCCAAACAAATTCACTGGAAAAAAGATAGCCTCTTTAATAAATATTGCTGGAAAAACTGACTTTCCACATGCTGAAGACTAAAACTAGAACCATGTCTATTACCATACACTAGAGTTAAGTTAAAATGGATCAAAGATCTAAATATTAAAACAGAAACACTAAATGTGCTGGAAGATAGAATAAGTAGAACTCTGGAAGACACAGGTGTAGGCAAAGGCTTTATGAACAGAACTCCAATTACTCAAGAATTATCACAAAGAATCAACAACTGATATTTCATTTTTCTAATGAGCTTTTGCACAGGAAAACAAATCACCAACAGAGTCAAAAGACAACCCACAAAGTGGGAAAGAAATTCATGCCGGCTGTTCT